CTACTACAATCCAAGGATGACCTACCGCACCACTCTGAATCTGCTTTCCAAATCCAAGAAATTTATCCCTAATTACAAATGTGATATTCACAAAAATCTCATGGCTATCACTGGAGGATTAAGTTCTGATACATCATCATATATATCTGAAATTGTAGGTTTCTACAAGATTCCACAAGTAAGTATTCAGGGGTGGAGGAGAAAAAATTCTGTACCTGTTGTTGAGGATTAAGTTCTGATACATCATCATATATATCTGAAATTGTAGGTTTCTACAAGATTCCACAAGTAAGTATTCAGGGGTGGAGGAGAAAAAATTCTGTACCTGTTGTTTTCTCATCATTAATGAGTATCTGATATTATGCTTAGTTCTGTATTAAGAACTTCTGCAGGGCTTAAGGTAGAGTACTTAGCACTTTTTTCTGAAACTACAATGCCAGTCATAGACGTGAATGTCTCAGATTATCCAGGAACTTTCCTGACCTGATGGAAGATTTTAATGTAGTACTCCCTGCTCCTATTAAAACAATTTAACTATTATATGTGTCTGAAATAATTCCTAGAAATTCCATTCTATATTAATATTTGGAAAGAATTCCAGAAAAAAAAAATCCTTTCTCGGATATATTTACATGAACACTAGATGAGAAAAGAACAGGTTTCTTCTAACAACTCAACAGAATACTACTCTACTTTCTTTTAGCTGACATATGGCTCATTAGCCCAAGATGCATTTCAGAAGAATAAGCTATCTTCACTTTATTTCATGGCCCCAAAACAGGACTATCAGTACATTGGGATTATCCAACTGCTTCGTCATTTCAGGTGGACATGGATTGGGATTTTTGCTGTTGATAACAATAACGGAGAATATTTCTTACAGAAAATGCAGCCCTTACTTTCATGGAATGGAATCTGCTCATCATTCACACAAAGGCTTCCACAACTAGTCCACTTCGAAGACATCTCAGAACTTTATTACACCGTCTCAAGTATTTCTATTAATTTTATGAATAGCAAAGCAAATGCATTTCTTGTCTATGGAGAACCATGGACAGTCATGGGGCTCAGAGCTGTGACATTTGTAGCAGATCCTGAAAACAAGCAAACTGCATTATTTAGAAAGGTGTGGATCATGACTAGCCAAATTGATTTCACACTATCTGGCTTTCAAATCACGTGGGATCTCCAGATGTTCCACGGGGCTATTTCATTTACTGTTCATTCAAAAGCTGTTGTAGGGTTCAAGGAATTTCTTCAGACCATAAACCCTTATTCAGTCTCCAGAGATGGGTTTCTGCAGGATGTTTGGGAACAATCCTTTGATTGTTCATTTCTAAAACCAGAGTTACAACAAATGCCCAGTAGGCAGTGCACTGGGGAGAGGAAGCTGGAGGATCTTCCTGGGCCTGTGTTTGAAATGGAAATGACTGGCCAAAGTTACAGTGTCTACAATGCTGTTTATGCTGTGGCTCACGCTTTGCATGCTCTACTCATGTTTGGGTTCAATAAGAAAAAAAGGATGATGGGTAAAAAAACTGACTTTCCAGATCTGCAGGCTTGGCAGGTATTCTCTCTGCATTTGACACTTCTTTGATTTCAATGTGCAGTTTTAGAATTACCTTTTGTACCCAGTGTGAAAGTCTTAATATTTTCTGCTTGTGGAAGCAAATTCAATATGAACATTGAGAAGCTAGTATATAAATCATGGTTTAGGTATCACTATGATTTATGTAGGAAATCATCATAGCTTGTAAAGTAAGAGATGGTTAAAATGAAGTGTCACTTTACATGATCATTTATATTACTTTCCATTGTCCTCTCCATAAATGACCATTTTTCCAAGATACTTCTGCTTGGATCATGAATATTTCAGGGTTGAGAAGCTGAGTGTTCTATCTCTATTGGAGTTCAAGAGAAATGGACTGAATTGGGGTCCTTTCAGCTGTGGCCTCCATGCTTTAGAACAACCCTATTTTTGAGAGAATATCTATCACCTCTCTCTCTATTTATCCATCTATCCATCTATCGAGGAATGCTTGAGTCTCAGATTCTAAAATCTGGGTAAGGGAAATTGATCAGGTCTCAGTCTCTCAAATAGCTTGGTATGAAGGAAGAAGGAACAATAGAAGATAAAATTATGTATGGTCTAGGTTTAAATAGTGAACCTTAATCATAATTGAAGGAGGTTATATAATTTCAATAGCCTGTTTTGATTTTGCTTTTCTTGATTGACATTGCTTCTCATCTTTCCTGGACATTCTATGAAATTCATAATAGAATTGACCTGTAAATTTCCGTGCAATATAGATGATCAATTTTCTAGGTGTCCTTATTTGATATTTGTTATTGGATTGGGAAGAATGAATGAATGAAACTTAAATATACTGGTCCATTCCCCATTATTATCCTTTCAACTCTCTCTTTCATTCTGTTTCAAGTAGCTCCATCCATTTCTCCAAGGCATTTCCTTTAACAATTCAGCTGGAGAGAGAGTCTTCCTGAATCAGAAACACAAAGCAGCAGGTGGATTCGACCTCATCAACTTGATCACTTTTCCAAACAGATCCCTTCAGAGAGTTAGAGTTGGAAAGTTGGATCCCAGTGCTCCAAAAGGGAAAGAATTATTAATTGAAGAAGATCTGATTGTCTGGCACCCAGCTTTTAACCAGGTATGGGCTCATTGAACAGACTATATCTTGCTATATTTTTTTCTCATGAAGAGTTCTTTGTCTATTAAACCATCTTGAAAATAGTTTGCTTGGAAATTTAATTTCTGTTGTTAAACACAGTCTCTTTATAAATCTAAGTAATATTTTTGAAAGAAAATAATGGCATATTCTGTACAAATGTTGTCCATGATCAAGCATTTACCAAACTGACAAAATAACATTACAATTTAAAGTGAGATTTTCATATTTGGGACGCAACTCCATTTCAGATCATGATAGTCACATTGTTTCCATAATATTGTCATATTCATTTATTGACTCACACTGCCCTTCTTCAAACAAGCCCTTTCACACATATTTGTAATTTCTACGTCTTTTTAATTTATACTATAAATCCAACTAGATAAAATTCATTAGCTGTTTGGGAAGTCAAGAATTCCTTCCCTCCAGAAAGGAGAAGAATTAGAAACTGTATTAAAAATCACCCTTTGCAAAACCTTTCATGTTTATGACCAGGTTCTTCCAATTTCTCTGTGTAATGACCGTTGTTCCCCTGGATACTGGAAGAAAGGGGCTGAAGGAGAGCAATTCTGTTGCTATGACTGTGTTCCATGCCCAGAAGGGAAGATTTCAAATCAAAATGGTA